TATTAGTTGGAACAATATTCTTCCAGACTTTGCAGAGAGCAGATTTCTCACTCAGGGGAGTGAGGGCTTCCTTGGTGGTGAAATCAAATGGCTCCAGGAGTTGTCTTTGGCAAAAAACTTCTGAAATGCATTTATCTCTCTTCATCCAAACAGTATTTTTTTTTTTTTACCACTTCTGGTATGTCAAGTCTGGGAGAGATTCCTTAGATAGTTTTGGATAAATGAAGAAATGCTGGTCTAGTGTTCTGCCCTTTGCTTTATTTTCATAGGCAGAGCCTGAACTATATCTCATTGCTCATCAGATGCACTTTGACTTTGCTATTATTTCTGCAGTCATTTGATCCACTATGGGAAACTCACAGTGAGCTCCTTTTAACTGGTTGATGTTTGAAACCATTTTTCAGGCCTTTGGGACCAAAGATTTCTAGAATTTTGGTTTGCTCTCAAGGCTCTCACTTTCTCTACTGTCTAATAAAGGCTTTGTGACCTTTGGGACCAAAGATTTCTAGAATTCTGGTTTGCTCTCAAGGCTCTCACTTCTCTACTGTCTAATAAAGGCTTTGTGTCCTTTTAAATATCTCTTTGCTTGTCTGTTTTTCCTGTCAGTCTTCAGTAAACTTCAGCACTCAGGAAGGTAAATCCATGTTAGGACTCAGGTTAATTTTTTATGCAGCTGGAAAGACAAACATTTCACAATTTAAGTGGAGTTTTTTGTTCTTCCCTTAGCTTGTTTAGCCATTTAACCAGATGTGTGATTACTTGTACTCTCTGGGGTGGGTTTTTTTTAAGGAAAAACAATCTGATTTGAATGAAATCACTGCTGCAGGGGAAGAGAAAGGGAGGAGGTGGCTTCCACATGGGCTACTTCAGCTGAGCTCAGACTTCCAGACAGTGGGATAAGTAGATTTTGATTCTTTCCAAGTAGCTGCCACTCCTGGTGAGCTGAGCTGTTTGGCATTGGGAGTTGCCAGTAGTTTCACTGTGGCTGTGATAAACCAGGTTGACCTCTCAGTGAGCAAACTGATTGGTTTTACTGCCTTGTAACTCTTTGATTCTCATTTGAACTTACTTTATTTCTGTTTTCTTTACAAAGCAACTGTCAGTTTATCCTGTAAGACTGTAGGGTGAGGGCTGTGGTATGCTCAGCTCTGTCTTCAAACCAATAAGATTAGTTTTGCCATCTTTTGAGAAGGATTTTAGATGCAGTCAGTTTGGGGAGGGTAACACACAAGTGACAAACACCAGTTTGTTTGGCTCTGTGAGGTGTGGCAGGCACTTTTTTTCTGTCTGCTCCTAATCCCTCCAAGTGAAACTTTGGCATTCAGTGAAGGATGTTGAGGGTCTTGAGTACATATCCCTCAGTGAGTCATGGTAGAACTGAAAATCAGCCCTAGTTCTAGGCTAATGTTGGCATTAGTAACAAAGATTTTTAGACTGGGTTTAGAAAGAACTTGAAAGAAAAGCTCTTAGCTTCTCTGTGTGGAATGTGCATCATCTTGTGTAATTACCAAATGCTCTAGACTGATGTAAGTGTGAAGAAGTCAATATTTATTGTTGACTCTGGTGGTGATGAGGATTAGACACTGAAGATATCCTGGAATATTACAGCCTGAATTCAAAGACAGTGACAAGCAACAGTTGTTCTGTGATTAACCTTCTGCATGACAAGTTGTGTAGAATTTCAGAGTATTATTACAGTATTTAAAGGTTTAGAAGTTCCTGCCAGCACAGTGTGTTCTGGTGGAGAAAATCAGGCAGAACTGACTCTTGTAGAAACCTTTCCCAGACTGTGGCTCTCTGAAGAACATCCTGGTGTGTGGTGGGAGGAGGTGGATGTGCTGCTCTGGCTGTCAGGTCTAACAGCTGCAGCACTTGGTGCATCACACACACAAGAAGAGACAAAATGGGCCTCTCAGGCAAAGAGTTACATAGCAGAATTCCTTGGCTCAAGAGCACTGAAGCCAAAAGTTTCTTGGCATTCTTAGTACATTCCTTTTCCAGTGTGTGCTCAGAATAACTTGGGACTTTTTGGAGCAGAAATGGGACAAACGTTTGACTGTAGACAGTAAAGTCTGTGCTCAGTTTAGCTGTTCATCTGCAGCTTTGAAAGTACATTAGGGTTTTTTTCAAAGCACTGGGTCTTATTGGGCTATAAACTTTATTTTTTCCTGAGTCAAATAATCCAAAAAACCTTAAACAAAAGCAGATGCTGTTCCTCATTTGTTACTGTTGAGTTGGGAGACAAGGGATGAGTTGGCTCTGCAGCCTAAATGCATTTGACCTTTTTTGATCCTCTCTGGTCACTTTGGTTTTGGCTTAGGAGGGTGGACCTTAATGAAAGCCACAGGTCAGTGTTATGCCTGAAATTTTAAACCATTTTTTTGTTAATTTATGTGATTTTAAAGTAGCTTTGCTTTGGCTTTCAGGTGAACCAAGTGAGCTAAATCTTCCTGGGGTGGGGACACAGCCTGTGCTGCTGCTGCAGTGTAACTTCAACCTTTGGTTTAAGCAGCTTGATGGAAATTGCCATAAAACCTGAAGACTGAGATCAGTTCTGAATCAAAGAATTATTTCTGCTTTGCAGTGTGAATTAGCCTGGGCAGTCCAAAATGTGTATTTTCCTTAGATGGGATGAAGTGTTGTCATCTTCAATGTCTTTTTTTTTTTTTTTTTTTTTTTCCAAGGGTAGGTAAGATCTTAATGTGGCATTAAAAATGACTATAAATCTAGAATTTACCTGTAGGAAATGTAAACACAATCATGTACCTCTGGTGGGAAATGCTGATATGCACAGTGCTGTCTGCAGGGACAGCAGTGTGGTTAAATATTAACCTCCAGGAGGGCACTCAGCTGTTGGACACAGACTGCAGAGTCAAGTCCTTCCTCATGGAAGTGTCTGGTGAGGCAGGCACACAGGAATCCACAGAGCTGCAATCCTTCCAACAGGTCCATGCACCTGTTGGAAGTTGGGGATTGAGTTAGTGTGGAGCAGAGTAACCAGACTGAATTTTAATATTGTTTTTTTTTTGGGTGCTTCTAGAGTTTACTCTCCTGAGCACAGGAAGACACATCACAGCTCTTAAGACAATCTATGTAGCATCATTAACCTGCTGCAAGTTTTATTTTACTTTGCAGACATAAAGGAGGCAATTTGTACCTTAGAGCAGAGCAAACCACTTCCTTTTTCTTTCAAATCTCTGTTAATGACACTAATAAAGGTTTGAAGGAAAAGGTTCTAGATATTCTCCAAGTGTTGGGCAGGATAGTCAGTTCTGACAGAGGGGAGACCATAAGCTGGAGGAACATAGAATCATAGAATCAACCTGGTTGGAAGAGACCTCCAAGATCATCAAGTCCAACCCTACCGTGGTTACCAGACCATGGCACTAAGTGTCACATCCAGTCTCAGCTTGAAAACCTCCAGGGATGGTGAATCCACCACCTAACATATGACTTTATGAATCCTCATGCCATGGTATTCATTGACAACCATTACAGAGTCTCAGCCTTATCTGCAAAGGCACAAGGAGTTTTCAAAAAAACCCAAAATATCTTTCTGAATTTCTGACACTTTTTCATTGAAAAAACTCTGTGTTTTCCTGGTCTTTGAAAATCCTACTGTTACTCTCAACTTGCAGTGTCTTTCTTCATTCTCCCCTCTGTAATGCTGAAAGAATTGGCCAGGGTTTGGAATTGTGCTGATTAAAATTCTTCTTGGAAGGACTCTAATAATAACAAGCAAAACCCTTTGAAGCTCATCTCATGTCAAGTACATGTCAAGATCATCTGACATATGTGGCTGCTTTAACTACTGAACCTGTTTTCAAAGGATTCAATTTTATGGCAAAATTCAGGGTTTCCAGTGCCTCATTCTAGCCCATTAAAACTAAAATTTTTCCAACTCAGCAATACATACTTCATTGTCAGAGCAATCATGAGATCCATGCCATCACTGGCTGCCCTGGGGGGACTTACTGCTGCTTTCCAATGGACCTTTGTTGTGGTAGGACAAAGACTTCTTGATGAATTTGCCTATCCAAAGTGGCTTTGGAATATTAATTGATTGTCAGTGAAGTCTCTATGTACTCACAGTTAGGTCTTT